CCGCTACAGCTGCTTTGTGCTGCTCAACTGTTCCTCCATTCTCCAGCACACGCAATTTGTTCCGATTAGCTATAGGACATCCTGATGCACTATGAAATGGAATAAAGTCTCTTTATCATATCTCTTAAAAACACACATGATGTAATTAACACACTTAAAAATTAACATGCAGGTAGGATTCAAGCTAAAATATCCTGTTGACTTGAGAGGTGATGCACATCCAAAGTCCTGCACAGACAACAATTTTTTCACCATGTTAATAACAACATATATATTAAATGGCACAGTTTAAAGCACTGAAAACTTAATTAACTTATTACACTGTGCATACAAGTTCAGTCAAATGATAACAATGCCAATACCAAGTTTTAAAAAGAATTCTGGGCATAAAATAACCTAAAAGTTATGAAAATGCCTATTTATAAATTAAAATAGTCTCGGGGGAGAAGAAATTTTCTCATGAGCTTTTGTCCAGTGCATGGGACCGGTGCCAACCCAGCATCGTGAGGAAATTGGGGAGCTATGATAATTAGCGTAATCCAGTCAGGTAAGCTAGCAATGGCTGGGGGTTAGTCATGCTGACCACACGTCACCCTATATCTGGTTGGATGATCGTTCACCTCTGCTTAGGCATGTGAACGTGAGGCCAGCAGCCAGCTAGTCGGTTTTGGCTCTCAGAGGGCTGTTACGCCACGGATTTCATTTGATATAACAAAAATGTAATTATAATAGAATATGTAAGTGCCTCCAATTTTATGTCATATAGCAACATGTTGTTTAAGCCAGTGCTCAGTAGGGAAAACTAAGGATGAACCACCAAAGCTAAGTATGATCTGAGGTTCCCATAAAGGTGAATACAAAGATGGCTGTCTTCTGGTTTGTAGTGCCATGTAATGTGGTAGAAGTTTACCAGTTTCAGAGGTCCTTGCTGCCTCTGTCTTCAGGACAATAATACAGGCAGCAAAGACCCCTGAAATTTGGTAAACTTGTACCAGGCTACACAGCAATACAACCCAGATGACAGCCACCCTCAATACATAGCTGCTTCAGTCCTGTGAGATGATGTCATACTGTATGCAAAATGAGAATTACAGTGAAAGAACAGACAATAATATAATCTTCATTACATTATTTTTTAGACCATATCATATGGGAGTGGGATTTAAAACCTTGTACTGCAGGGCTGCTGGCTGGACGTTGACTCACGGATAACAGTTTAGTGGTATATTAGTGTGACATGCGGCCAGCCGGACTGCATATAAGCATATACGATAAATGTTAAATACTACTTTACAGACAGCAGTGCACACCTCAAGTAACTGCATGGCATCCATAAGTTTACAGTTCCTGACATGTACAATGAATGAGCAAGTTTGTGCTCTTTACTTGACATGCATGTTCCAGTACTAAACAGTTCACGTACCTTCTGTGTGACAAGAATTTCCCTGTTGCATGTCCAGATCCATCACATCCAGGAATGGGACATCTGGGTTAGTAGAAGGGGAAATGTTAGTGAAAAAAAACGTTCATAGTATCAATTATGTTAAAAGTTATCAAAAGGAAAATCAGTTATTTACAACAATAACAGCATTATTGGAGATTAATTTTAGTATGAACTTCAGATTCGGCTGTGTTTGTGACCGATACGGAGAACATAGTCCTGAACTCAGAAAATTATTTCACACATTTTTCCAATGAGCCTGTAAGCAGTGGAAATAAAGTTTATTGTGTATGTGCCAATACAAGGAATAAAAACAGAAAACTGATTGCAAAATTATGAAAACATTATTTGTGGCTTTATGCATACCTTTAAATCACACTTTCTTTGGCTGTTAGATTTCTGGACTTTGTCCATCACACAATATTCTACAAAAATGACACTACATTTTGGTAGCTGGATGTGCTCCCATCTTCAGGTGGGGGAATTTATCAGTTAGATTAATTAAAGATGTCTGCCAATTCACTGATTGGGATTAGCCCTCTCTAACATCAATTTTTGTTGCAAAGAGGGTTGATGCTTAAATTACTACCCTAATCACGATTATTCTGTGTACCACAAATGGACTATGTCTATTTCCAAACATCTGATATGGATGTACTACAATTAATTTGGCTACCGCACTCAAACCACACACCAGCAAAGCCTGCAGACAGTACAATAAGCAATGAGCAAAGTGTGCAAGAATTCAAGCTCAGCGACAAAGATTAACAACATTTAGTAACCCAAGTCATCAATATGCCAATGCAGAAAATGCTCATACTTATATTTCCATATTTAAACCACAACTTTCCAAAAAAATAAGATTTTATTTTACAATTATGGGAAGGCTTATATCAGTTAAACAGATTATGTAAAGTATGGACTTGCAACTTCAACAAAATAGAATATTTAATATGTGTACAGGAAACAAGTAATGAAATTTGAGGTTAAGTTCCCAATGAAAAGGATTGTTATTGATGGGTAATCAATGTAAAAAACGACAATATGAATGAAAAGATGAAACATAATAAACTTCACAGATTTAAAAATACATGTGGCACTATAAAAAGAAATATTAGGCAAAAAGAAAGAAAAGAAATAGGTTAAATTCTATGAAATCAGGACAAATTTGGTGTGGCTGGTTGGAAGTGAAGGAAGCTATGACAAGGATTAAAGCAGCAAAAATGAAGTTCTTGCAGTCAGCCAAGGGATATACATCAACAGGTAATATGAGAATTGAAGAAATAATAAAGAAACTGAAGATATATTTTAAATAGAAGAGGAAAGAAAAAGTTACAGGATTAATTGCGTTAACAGATTTGGTGAATGATCCCTGGAAGAATACCAGAACAAGTATGTACGTGTAGACCAAAAGGAAGAAGAAATATGGTCTGAATGCATAAGAGATGGGGTGCTAAAGTTGAAAAGGTGTAATAAGTTCCCTAAAGAGAATAAGAAAATGATGATTAAACGTATGGGGTTAAGAGCCTCTGATTTAAAGCAACAGGATATTATTTTTCATTTAACATATTTTTACTTAACAGGTAACTTCAAATGAATACATTCTTTCATTAAAACGAGGAGTCCTGTAATGTCCTACAAACAAGGAGGGGGGGGGGGAATCAAGTCCTTGAGAAGGCTAATAACGAATTTCCCGCCTGCTGAAAAATCCGAATGTTTTTCAACATGTTTACAAGGACCCACTACTGGCACCTTTTCCCAGCTAGATCAATGCAGCCCACACCTCCACATCCCATTTCTCTAGCTTGGGGGAGGTTAGGGGCAGACCCCGACCACTTCCCTAACTTCTTACCGTATAAAGGTCCGCATGTTACTAAATGTTGCACAGGGCCTTGGAAGTTATATACAAGCAAAGAGTGTTTGAAGTCAAAACATGAGCAATCAGTTATGCGTCCTATTAACATGATCTCATGACTCCTCGGCGTAACGAGGAGGAACTTACCTTAGAGGTTCGGAGTCCTGTCCGTCTCGTGGCTTGCTCTTGGGTTTGTTGGCGCGCGGGCAGCCGGACAGACTGCGGTGGGACGAGTAGTTGCCTGTGACGTGCCCAGAGCCGTCGCAACCGGGTGTCGGGCACTTTAGTTCCTGTGAGTGCGCCTGTATCTGTGTGCGGTCCGCACGTGGGCATCCAGACAAACTGCGAACAGTGCAAGTGACCAAAATGCCAGATAAGAAGCCTGCCTCCTCACGTCGCTCAGTACGGAAGTTAAGTGACGCGATGGACGCAAGAATGCTCTTCAGAATCAATCACGTATTTAGATTTTTACAAGATCGACGGCACAATGTGTCTATCCCGGACAATATTTAATTAGTTTTGGTCTGACGAGCTGGGCGCTGCCGTGTGCTGTTGGGTTTTTGACACAATTCAATTTAATAAAGATATTTTAAATGGAAAGCTGACTTCACTTGTTTTGAGTCTTGCCTTATGAGAAATGTTAGTTGATTTTTGGGTGATACTGATACATATGAATGACAGTGGCTCCGCTCTGTCAGTAACACAAACACCCATTTTTGGATGAAATAACTGAGTAAAACATACTTAAACCTTGCCACAACAGTAATCAAGAAACTTTGTTTCCCACAAAGAGTGACGGGCGAGAGATATTTTGTTGCGTTTTACGTTTAGACCACAATTAGGTCTACATATACAGATTCCATTTATTTAATATTTTATTTGTAATTCGGTTTGAATTGAAACTTTTAAATGGGCCTATGATGAAAATTCTTGTAACTTTAAATACAATACAAGACTTGAGGGCGTTATAGGATTCATATTGCCCCTGTTAGAGTTGAGGGTTTACTAAGTGAAGAGAACCTACAATATCAGCCAACTAAAAAGTAGCTCGTTGATCTAAGGAAGATGTCAGTTTCTAACGTAGTCTACTGCTTCTCAGTTAAGCTTACAGTACGCAAGAGGATAAACAAATTTAGATGTGAAATAGCAAAACACGTTATAAGATCACAGTCCACACACGTCGCTTACTTATGTCGCAAAAAAAAACCCGATAAAACTACTGTACTTATATTTGTTGGAAGGCCTCAGAGTCTTAAAGCTCTGTTGAACACAGAGAAAATAGCACTTCATAAATTATTTGCAAGAACGTGATCTATTTGATAAATACAACAGACAGAACTTTAGTGCCCCTTTCCTTTTGAAGATGAGTAAATATTGGACACAGGAATATTTAAATTCATTAAAGTTAAATTTTGTTCTAAATAAGCAGAGAATTAATGTAGGTCTATAGTTCTTCTTCGTAGTAGACTATTCTTAATTTAAGAGAATACAGATTATCCATTAAAATTAAATTAAATCCGTGTAGTAACAGCCCTCTGAGAGCCAAAGCCCACTAGCTGGCTGCTGGCCTCACGTTCACATGCCTAAGCAGAGGTGAACGATCATCCAACCAGATAAAGGGTGACGTGTGGTCAGCACGACGAACCCCCAGCCATTAGGAAATACTTACCAAATGCTGAAGTTGAGACAACAAGAGATGTCAAAATTCTTGTACTCTACACAACACACTGAGTATGGACTTCAAACATTTATCACACCCCAAAAAAGAAACAATTCTTCTTTCACAAAAATCGAATGCAGCACCCCAAAACAGAAAAAATTCTTCTTTCACAAAAATCGAATGCATATTTTGAACGGGTAAGAAATGTCGCAGTCTGTCTTTTACTGCTATACACACAAAAGCTGTCAGAACATACGCCACTGATTTAATATACAACGGTGAATGGCCTACTGGTATCAGAGTGTTGCTGAAAAAAAACCCTGAAATTATCCAATATGTGGGAATTTATGTAAACCAAAGAACATGAACAACTACAACACACCAGATGCATTCAATAGGCTACGTAGTGTCTATACACCTCCACAGGAAGAAGCCATGCTTTCGTTGTGATAGGCTACTGCAAATGCAATTTAGGTAAGATGCAGACCAGGTTCCGAACTACCGAGTTAGGTTCTCGGTTTATATCAGCAGGCTCACAATATCAACAAATCACCGCAATAAAAACTTTAGGGACAGATTGTACGTCTATCACGACCTCTGTAATTTGTGTACTGACAAGCACCATATTTACAGATGCTAGTGAATGTTTAAAGAAACTAAAAATGTTTACTTTCCCATTCTCCAGACACTTAAACTGTCTGTTTTGTCTATTCTGCAACGACAAAGCAGCGTAACATCAGTCCACTTGATAAGCCTGTATTAATATTTATGTATTATCTTATGAATGCATTAATTAAAGGCGTATCTAAAATGACTAGACGGATTATAACTAATTTCTGGTTCTGATAGATTTCATGCATATTATTTGGCAACGGTAGATGTATGGATGGTCATCTTTACAGTGATTAAATGAACTATGAAACTGGCGATTTTAATTTGTCGGCGGAAAATAAATTTTATATTGTCGGTAATTGAATTTCTTCTGCATCTGACCTAATATGCAATTTGCGTCATAATACATGCTCGTTCTATTCAGACACAACGGAAATATATCATACACATGCAGATGTGCCAAGTGCGTCCTTCTGAAGAGAACTCCTTGACAGACTATACAATAAGGAAGGTTGCTTATTTATATTCAAAACTTGAAATATTTCATCAACACACATGAAACTAGAGTATAACTAGCAAGCTGTCTGTTCTTTTAAAATATTAAGTTACACTGTCCATTCATTCCTCTGATTTACGACGACTCTGTAACACAAAGCCATACATTTTCCTGTTTACTGGTTAAATTTGAAATTACAAATAATGAGGGACCTATGTACACATATTAGGAAGATTTATGTCTTCTGGGTTGTTGCGCTGTGTAATCTGGTCGATGTTTATCAACGTTTCAGAGGTCATACTGCCTCCGTTATCAGGGCGATGAATATGGCCACTGAAACGTTGGTAAACATCGACCATAATACACAGCGCAACAACCCAGAAGACAGAAATCTTCATACTCACCGCTGTGAAAACCTCATATCTTACAAATTAGAAAGTTAGGCCTATAGAACACTGACAACAGGAACGTAGTCGGAAAAAAGGATTGTTCGTTACAAGCAAGTGTAGAAACATTTGGAAATTTCAGTGTGTCTTTCTCACTTACTGCATTTATGTCTCTTGTTGAGAGTCCTCAATAGGCAGAAGCAAATGACACCGGAATTAGCAAGATGACATCCAGCAACACGACATCGACGGGCAAGCACATCGAGAACACAACAGCTAGGCAAGTTTGAGGACACACAGACTGGCACGTGTTGCAAGAGGAGGCAAGGACCTGACCCCAGTGAATGTGATTTACCTCTAACGTCCACTGCTCAGACATGGTCAACTTGTCATGTAATAAAGTGGAACCATACTTTGAATTCCGAAGAGAAACGCTGCCCACTTTTGGCTGAAATAAATAATTTTGAAATGGTGGAATTTAAAACAAAAATAATCTGCAATCCACGTGGTAGGGTGCGTTCCCTTCCGTATAGTGCGCTGGGGGTTAGGAGAGTAGAAGTAATAATAAATGCTAATTAATAAAACAACACGAAAACAAACAGGATCGGACATCGAGCTCCAAAGAACGAGTAGAACTGGAGGTTCAACACGTCTCAGCTATCAAACGAAAATCAACTCATAAAAGACAATTATCTACTGGTCCGTGCAAGCATTATACGAGCGACTGGAGGCTGGGGTTACGATACTTCTAAAGAAAAGTGAACACATTTTCTTAATTCGCAATAAAATCAAATCACGGGCATTATTCAAGTAAAATTCAAATTATTATATAAAACATTTAACGAATTCATATGCAATAAAATAAATCGTAGGGTAAAACGGGCAATCTAACCGAATATACACTGATCAAGCCAAACTACTGGACACGTGTCTGTCCACCATCATTTCAAGGTAGTGAGTACTGGAAAGTAGCTTGCCTTCTGTGGGTAGCGTAGTTTCCTGACACATGACCCATGCCATCGCAGCCGTGGGTAGGGCACTGTATCAGCTCCTTACCATCCCTCCCCCTGGGAGCGGGGCGCGCAAAATTGAAGGAGGAGGAGGAAGTTTGTCTGCTGCGTACAATTGTACTGCGTGCGTGCAACGACAAGGAGAAAATGGAGCGATTTAAAGCCAACTGTGTTTTAAGAACAAGAGTAAAAATTAGTATGACACAAAATGCAGTTGAAACGATATGAATTAATGAATGATGGTACCGACTGTAGGGATTTCAGAGAGCTGGTTGAACAAAGGAAACTTGGATATAATGGCAGTTCGTATCACAGACTCAATATTTTATTCAGTATGGAACCCAACAAAATGTGTTTAAAATGTTACACTACAGATGTTATGCACTGCAGAGAACCAGAAATTCATTTTTCGTTTCAGTTTTTTAAATATTCATTATATCGGAATATAATTCAAATGAACTTTACAGATCTCAGTAAATAAACGTTCTATATTCTGTGCCAATCTTATTGTACGATTGACCATTTTACAGAACTCAGTGCTGTTCGGTTTGAGGTTCAAAGTGGAACCAAAATAAAATAAAACATCCATACTTCTTCCTGGTACAGTAACTTACCAGGTAGACCCACAGGTTCATAAAACCAGCATTCAGAAATATCAATAATAAACCTCTTCGAATGTTTCCTGGTAACAAATTGGAGAAATGTTACAGGACGCAAGCAGAAAGTCATACTACGAGTCTGGCTCAAGAGGACCTGAAGGGCCAGCAATCTTCTAGTTGCGCAGGGGTTACCAATGCCATCACAGGCCGATACTAATAATTCTCCGAAGGACTTTTTTTTTCTAGGCAGGTATATTTCACATTCACTTGGTTATTTACCCGTTTTATTTCCGTAGTTCTTGATTAAGACATTTCGGCAACTTCTCCTTATTTTACGTCCATGAAAAATATACCCTACGTATCTTGACTTTACGTAAATACGAGACTAGTAACTACTGCACCTTACTATAACTTCTTAAAGAGGATGTGTTGCTGTTATGGATACTTCAACTAATGCCTGATAGTTCTTAGTTTAGGAAAAGTTCTTATTCTTCGACAATTGACGTCTTAATGATTTAATTTTTCATAACTTATAGGTCATTTGCGATGCTGGGTTCAAGTTCTGAGACTTCCGTGGCT